TGCAAGGAGAAAAGTTTTAATTATGTCATCATCTACAGAATCATCCGTATATTTGTCATATAATTTAAAACGTGTTTGGCAGATCCACACCCCCACCCCTTCAGTAATCCAGGAATACAATGGCTGGGTCCTGTTGATAAAAAGGCTGGGATGTAGAAGATGAGCAAGGGACTGAGGAAGAAAAGAGAAAATATAGTATAGTACAGAACAGTATATAGAATAGGGAAGAAGGAAATGGAGATAATAACAGTAAGGAAAGAGACTGTGATTTTGTGATGATATTTTTGTGTTGTTGGGAGGAGCATTGCTGCTCCACGGGAATGAGCTGCTAACCGGGATCATAAACTCGGCGCCAGTTATGAATTAAAGAGACAGAGTTTTTTGAAAAGGACGATATTTTATTTGTAAGGAGGAAAAGGCAGAAGACAGAGAGCTGCCCCTTGTGAGGTGAGGCCAGGTTCTCCAGATGGCTATCCTTGGCCCTGTGTCCTCACTTCCTTTTATCAGGTGATGAAGACCCTCCCTCTTAGGTCAGTTCCCGGAACTTGTCACAACCTGATTGGCCCTCTGTGGACAGTCACAGATGGATCTCAGAATAGGACCCTAACAGGGACCATTGCCTAAGTGGACACTCCTTTGGTAGGCTTTGCTTGATTTTGTCTTTCCCTCCTGCCCTTGGAAGGGCCTCACCTCTGGGATTTATGTGTTGGCTACGAGGAGTCTTAGACAAGGTTGCTTGGAGTTAGTGATTCAGGGTGTGTGTGTGTTTGTGTGTGTGTGTGTGTGTATCTAATGCAACAGTATAGTGAGCTGAGAGTGAATGTGTATGTGTTTACACATATGTATACATGTGCATGTGTGTGTGTGTGTATATATATATATATATATATATATATATATATATGTAATTTTACTAAATAAAATAGGTAGACCGACCCTCCTTTGGCTCCTTTGCATCTCACTGGAGGTCTGGAGGGGCTGTTCTGGTTAGTGGACTTGGCTATCTCTTGCTCTTCTTATCAGCTCTCCCTCTTAATTAATGGCTTTCTCTAGTAATCTTCTAACTCTTTCTAGTCAGGATTTGGCAGAAAGCCTAATGAGACCCTTATTTTATTCTTTCCTGTCTGTAGAACCCCTTTCCTTCCGTTTTTATATCTGGAATGCAGGTGGAGAGGAGATAGGAGAGGTTATCTGTGAGGTAAGGGATAGAGAGAAGAGGGAGGTACTGTTACTGAGTAGCCAGCTTCTAAAAGTGGCTCCCAGCGCTTGCTTCAGTAGCACGTATACTGAAAGTGGCTTGCCAAATAAAATTACTGGGTTCTGAGTGGCTTCCCTCTCTGGAGTTAAATTCCAGCTTCTTTTCATGTCCAATTAAGAGCTGAGCAAAATGAACAAAATAACATGACAAAGCTTATTTGAGAAATAAAATGTAAAGTGGAGGAGAGGCTGGCTCTGCAGAGCAAGCTTTGCCCAAGTAAAAGAGGAAAAAGCAAGATGAAGAAAACATCCTGAGAAAGCAGTGCGGGCTCTCATGGGGAAAGCCAGGATAGCAAGCTCCTCACGGTTTGCCTCTTCTTTTATGCGTCCAGATCGTGCAGCCCATGAGAACTTCTGCATGCAGCTCCTGAGAGGTGGTGCTGGCTAACGTCAGGTCAGGGCCCTCCTATTGAGTACTGGCTTCAGGTCTCGCGAGAAGTCAGCGTGTCAGGGCTTTGGGAACTGCTCCGCACAAGTGTCCGAGATCTTGTAATTAACAGGTCACGCCTGCTTCCTCAGCCTATTTTGCCATGCCCTAATCTCCTATCTCAGTATCATTTGAGATGTAGGAAGCTGTAGGAGGGATGAAACGATTAATAAACTGATAGAAAGGTTGTGTTTGGATCCCCTACACATTTTTTGGTGGGAGTTACCTTATAACAATTAAAGAAACTTTGAAAGTTGATACACTAATTCTTACTCTGTTTCATTTACATGGTAAAACAAGATTCAGAAGAGAAAAAAGAAAGTAAGAATAAAAATAAAAACTGGCACGAATTCAAGGCCAGTCTGTGCTACATAGTGCATTCAAGGCCAAGCTGAACTACTCTCTCAAAAAAAAAAAAAAACCAAAAAACAACAAGAACAACAACAGTAAAAACAAAAACAAAAGTCTCACCCTTTCTCCCGAGTGGCTTGGTACTCTCTTATACTTGCCTCTGCTCTCTTGTAGTGTGTCAATAAAGTGTTCACTTTTCAATTTTCCTTGAGTGTTGATAAATTATCTTTACCCTCTCTGGCACTAGCTTGCTACGGCACTCATGTAGCTGAGCTCTCAGCGTGCTATTTCTCAAATTCAGATACAAACTAGTCTCAGAAACTACCAATATTTTGAACTGTAGGTTGAGTCTTTCCTGGATTGCCTTTGGTTATCTCTAGTAAATTCTGCTCCACTGCTCCCCACCTCCTTCCAAGCAGTGGAAGGTTTCTGGTCAGTGGTCAGAGACAGAACACCTTGCTAGTCATACCCACAAATCTAACCCAATCCTGCCAACCCTGAGAGATTTATCTACTTTGGCGTATTTGCGCTATTTTTAAAAAATTTTTTGTTTTCATTTCCCTTATAAATTCTGTGACTCTGTCTGTCCAAATACATTTTTCTTGCCCAAAGTGGTCCAGTTTTAGGCCTTGTTAGACAGTGTGTTTTCCCTATAGACCTTTTTACCAAGATCAGTTCTTTATTCTAGATCCCTCAGTACTTTTCTTTCTTTTTTAAACACTTTATCCTGTGTCACCAGTCATGTGTTAATTGGTACGTTAGCATTCCTAAAATCCACTTTAGTTTTTTTAACTGTTGAGCATACAGTAAATTATAAAGCAGCTGGTTGGTAGTGCACATCTATAATCCTAGCACTGGGGAGGCTGAGGCAGGAGGATCACCATGAGTTTGAGGCCAGCCTAGGCTACATAGTGACTTCAAGGCCAGCCTTAACCTCATAGTGAAACCCTGTCACAAACAAACATATATATATACATACGCTTTAAAAAATTTAAAATATTCAAAAGGAGCAACAAGTGATAAATCAGAGAGTAAAAAATTTATAAGGGAAATGTAAACAAAAAAATTTTTAAAATTAGCGCAAATATGCCAAAGTAGATAAATCTCTCAGGGTTGGCAGGATTGGGTTAGATTTGTGGGTGTGACTAGCAAGGTGACTAGCAAGGTGTTCTGTCTCTGACCGCTGACCAGAAACTTTCCACTGCTTGGAAGTAGGTGGGGAGCAGTGGAGCAGAACTGGTCAAGCACTGGGTCTTTCGATGACTTCTTGGGGAGCTTCCTCCTTTCCAGCTCTCTCTCCTCCATGGCTGTCTCCTCAGGTGTGTGAGTCTACTCCCTCCACTCCTCCTATGTGGGGCAAGGCTTGCAACCCCTTCTGTCTGTGCCTTCTCTGCATTCTCTGACCACACCTCTCACAGAATCCATTAAGCCCCTGAGTTCAGTGGGCCCTGGAGCTCAGTGGGGCAGACCTTTTGTGTGGTAGTTAGCAGAGCCTAGCAGCCAATGAGAGGAAACTCCCCCAGGCCACTTGTGCCACGGTCTTGTTTTTTTTTTTTTTTTTTTTTTTCCTTTTTTCGTTTTTTTTCCGGTACCAGGAACCGAACTCACGACCTTGCGCTTGCCAGGCAGGCACTGTGCTGCTGAGCTAAATCCCCAGCCCCTTGTTTGGTTTTTTGAGACAGGCTCCCGCTGTGTAGATTAAGACTGGTTTTGTGCTCACTATGTAGTCTGGACTGCAAACTCAGGAGGGTCCTCCTACCTCAGTCTTCTGAGTATTGGGATTACAGGCATATCCACCATGCCCAGCACTTCTTTTCTTTTTTAAAAATTGCCTGCCTGCGTCTGTGTTTTTATCTCACCATGCTTCTGAGTACCTGCATATCCTGGTGAATGACCTCCAGGACTGTTGCTATTTGTAATCTGTCTGATATCTGCACGTTCATTTTTGAAGATTAAATTGTCTTGTATTTGCTTTATGGGAGGTGTGTGTGTGTGTGTGTGTGTGTGTGTGTGTGGTGTTGCTGTGGATTGAACCCAGGTGCTAAGCATATGCTTTGGAGTGTGCTAAGCATGTGCTTTACTGCTGAGCTGTATCCTTAGCACAAGGAGTTCTCCACGCATTTTGGTTATGATTCCTTTGATGAATATATATATAAAACATCAGTAATCTAATTCCAGCGTGAGGCTTGTGTTTCACTTTCCGAATCATGAGTTTTGATGAACAGAGATTCTTAATTTTAATGAGGCCCAGTTTATTAATCTTTTCATTTATGGTTAGTAGAAACTTCATTTTATCTTAGACATTGAAGTGTATGATCATTTCAAATTAATTTTTCTATCGAGTGAAAGGTAGGAGTTAAGATTTGTTTTCTCCTCCCCTTTGGTTAAGAAAGTTTAGACTGGGCTAACTTGCTCAATTCATATACTCATTGCCTAGCACCAAGACAGGCACATGATAGGCAGAGTAAATATTTGCTGATTCAAAGAATTTATGAAAGAAGCATTCATAGAAAGCCGGAGAAATGTTGGCGAGTAAAGAGTTAAAGTGTCCCCAGTTGCACAGGATGCTTGGATCCAGAACTGAAAATATTTTTGTAGAACATGGCCAGCTTCTAAATACTCCACTCCCTGCCCTTATTCTGACAGCTAATGAGGTGAATTTAGCACTGGATAGGAGGTTTTCCACTAAAATTTGTGTTTAGTTGTTAGGGCCAGTTTTCTTTTCTATTGTCATCACTCATGTATTTATTGGAACCATTTAATGAGAATCTGCTATTCTTGTATCACGTTTAATTATTTTTGAACTTTATATGTAACCTTTCAGGTTCTGTAATAGATATCAGTGTAAAGTCTTGTCTAGTAAGTTAATATAAAAGGATGGATATAAAAGGATCTCTTTCATTAAATTGTTTATTTCATTTAGGTGTTAAATGGTTAATTTTTACCATGTTTTTGATTTTTGTAGAGATTGTTACGGAAGCAAAAAGGAAAAAGTCTCCATCTTCTGATTTACATGAGGTATGTGTTAGTTTTGCTTTTAACCTATTCATTTGGTATTACTGATATTGAAAATACTTTGCTGTTTTTCTCTTTTACTAAAATTTTAAAGAAAATATTGTAAAAGTTTACTTTATGTCTTGGGAAAATATTGAGTGGTAATTAGTGGAGGGTTAACTAAGAATCCCTTTCTGGAACCAGCCTTTTAAAATGCTTATATTTATCTTTGTGGTGCTGAGGGTCAAACCTAGGGCCTTGTGCATGCTAAGGAAGTGCTTTAGCACTGAGCTATGCCCCGCCCCACCCTTTAAAAAATCATTGTAAGGTGACAGCATACTTTGCAGTCCTTATTTTAGGTTTTATGTAAAACACAACTCGGTCTTTTTCGTGGTTAAATATATTAGCATGCCTCATGTTCATTTATTAATAACACTGTATATGCACATAAAGAGTAATATTCATGGCATGTGCAGAAAACTGCGAGTTGGAATATATCCTTTTAAACCTCTTTTTTTAATCTCCGTTAACCAAGGGAAGCAAGACAAGCAAAATGAAGTTTCTGCATATGTAATAAGTGTTTTAAACAATTTTTTTTTCTTAAAGGATAATCTTGTCTTCCCTAGAATTTGGTGATTTAAATGCAGTAATGCCCTGATTTATATAATAATCACTTACTAGATACTTTTCTTGGAATTTCTTATGCACAGAGGGGTGGGGATATAGCTCAGCAGCACGGTGCCTGCCTGGCAGGTGTGAGGTCCTAAGTGCGATTCCTGGTACCAAAAAAAAAAAAAAGTAATATTTATGCTTACAGACCTTTAAGCAGGGCCATTTCATGTTATGTCACAGTAGAATTTAACAAAAGAGAAAGAAATCATACAGGGGGGTAGTGGAGGGAACTAAGAGAACCTTAGAAAAACCACACAGAGCACGCAGGCGTAAGTGGTACGCTTTTTCTTTTTTTTCCGACCTAAGATTTGCAGAATGTGGTTTCTCCCTTTAAATTTTTGAGTTTAGCTTAAGTAGAGTGAGTGAAGGAAGTAAAAAAGAAAAATTTACACTGCTGGGCTAACAGTACATGATACTGATAATGTGTAAGGAGAAGTGTATTTTTTCCAGTTGCGGGTAGGAAGTTACTGGCATCTGCTCAGCAGAAGAGCAGGTGGGCTGAGGAGAGGCGTGTGTGTGAGGTGGCTGAGGGAAGGTGCCAGTTTGCTTTGCATCAGCCTGTTCTTTTGAGAACTGACCCAGTCTCTTGATAAAGATGTTAATCCATTTGTAAAGGTAGCAAACGCATGACCTAGTTACCGATTAAAGTCCCTCCTTTCCTGCACTTTTGTATTGGCTGTCAAACTTCAAGGAGTTTTAGTGGGGCGCACCACATCTGAACTATAGCACCCAGTTTAAATACCTCAGTGTGCACTTGTAAGGCTGAAGCAGGATAATCACCATGAGTTTGAGGCCAGTCTGGATTACATAGTGAGTTTGAGGCCAATCTGGACTGCATAATGAGTTCAAGACCAGCCTGGACTACACAGTGAGACCTTGTCTCAAAAAACTAAAAATGAATAAATAAGTACATTTGTCAGTGTTTAGTGCTCCTGCTTTTAATGTCTGCAGGTAAGCAAAATGCTCTGCTTTAGGCTACTGTATCCTTTGTGCACTTCATTTGGTATTGTACAATTGCAGTTTATAACATTGAAGCCAGGTGCAGTGCTGTGTGCCTGTGATTCCAGCCACTTGGAGGATGCTTGGGAGGGTGTCTTGAGCCCAGAACTTTGTGAACAGCCTGGGGAATAATAGAGAGACCTTCTCCCCCATTTCAAAGTTTTCTTTTTCTTTCTTTCCTGTTCTTTGTCTTTTTGAGACAGGGTTTCACTATGCAGTTCAGGCTGGCCTTGAACTCGCTGTATAGCCCAAGCTTGCCTCAGACTCACAGTGATCCTCCTGCTTCAGCCTCTCAAGTGGTGGGATTACAGGTGTGCGCCACCATGTCTGGCCTAGGACATTTTCTTACTTCACAATATCCATTACATTTTGGTTACACTTATTTACACTTTCAGTTTCTCATACCAGAGAAAGCATGTAGTACTTCTACATGCATGTCGATTTATTTCACTTAAAGAGTGTGGTCTCAAGGCACATCCATTTACTTAGAAATGTCTCAAGTTTATCCTTTTTCATGGCTGAGTAGTACTGTATTGTATTAAAAAAAATGTCTTTTTTATCCATTCGTCAGTTGATGGGCATTTGGATTGTTTCCAAGATTTAGCTATTACAAACTGTGTTGCTATCAACATAGGTGTGCACAGAAAGCTTTTCTATGATACCTTTAATTCTTCCAGGAAGGTACCAAGAAGCAAAATAGCTGAGTTGAATGGAATCTCTAGTTCTAGTTTTTGAAAGAATCTCCATGCTGATCTCCACAGTGGTTGTTGCACCAGTCTGCACTCCCACCGACAGTGGAGAAGGGTTCCTTTTTCCTCAGACCCCCACCAGCATTTGTTATTGGTTGGTTTCTTGAATGAGACTGTAATTTGCATCAGTCGTATGACCAGTGATGTTGAACATTTTTTCATATATTTATTTGCTGTTTCTACTTCATCTGAGAAGTATCTATTCATTTCATGTGCGTATTTTTGGATTTGGTCTAAACTTGGGGTCTGATTATTTTGAGTTCTTTATAGATATTCTAGATACTAGTCCTTTGTCTGAGGAACAGCTGGCAGACATTGTTTCCCACACTGTGATTGTCTCTTCACTCTGTTGGTGGTTTCTCTGGTTGTGCAAAAGCTTTTTAATGAGATGAGATCCCAGTTGCGGTCCCAGATTCTTTGTGATTGTTCCTCTGTGATTGATGTTGTGTTCATAAAGTCTTTGCCCAAACCAGTGTCTTGAAGAGTTTTCTAGCAGATGTAGTGTTGCTGTTTTAATATTTAGATCTTCGATCCATTCCAATTTTAATTTAGTGCATGGTGAAAGTTATGGGTCTAGTTTTAGTCTTTGGCATGTGGAAAGCCAGTTTTTCAGCTCCATTTATTAAAGAGGCTTTCTTCTAGTGAAGGTATTTGGCACCTTTGTCAAAGATAAGGTGGCTGAATACCTCTGGAGTTGTTTCTGCATCTTCTAATCTGTTCCGTTGATTCTTGGGTCCCCCCACCCCTTTTTTTTTGGCCAGTACCATTCTATTTTTAGTTACAGTAGCTTTGTAGAATACTTTCAAGTCAGGGGTTGTTATGGCCCTGCTTTGCTGTTGTTGCCCAGAATTGCCTTTGCTATTCTAGGTTTCTTCTGATTCCAAATGAATTTTAGGATTGTTTTCTCCAATTCTGTGAAATATACTGCTGGAATTTTGATTGATATTGCATTAAATCTGTGTATCAATTTTGGGAGTATGACCAGTTTCACTATATTGGTTCTTGCCGCCCAAGAGGAAGGGATACCTTTACATTATCTGATATCCTCTTCAGTCTCCTTATTCAGAGCACGGTAGTTTTCAGTGTAGAGGTCTTTCACTTCCATTGTTAGATTGACTCCTAGGTATTTCATTTTTTGCATGCTGCTATGGAAGGTGTTATTTCCCTAATGTCTCTCTCAGTGAGTTTATTATTTGTGTACAGGAAGGCTATTGATTTTTGAGTATTGACTACACTACTGAATTTGTTTATTAAATCTAGAAGTCTTTTGGTGGAGGTTTTGGGATCTTGTATCTAGAGTATCATCATCTGCGAGTAATGATAATGTAAATTCTTGCTTTCCTACCCTATTCCTTTTATTTGTCTCTCTTGTCTAATTGCATTTCTAGAACTATATTGAATAAGAGTAGTGATAGTGGGCATCCTTATCTTGTGCTGTGTTCAGTGCAGCTCTCGAAATTCTCAGAGTGAAGGATGGTAGAGGATGAAGAAATAAAGAGCCCGGAAACAGACAGCTGAGGTCAGGTGGAGCTCTCTCTCTGAATGGGAGAAAAGGAGCTGCTCAACAATCACAGCATGTTTTTTTGTAACACTGAGTAGGTTGAGTTGCATGACCCCTCTTCTTAGCAAGCTGTTTGTTTGGCTTACCTCAGGTGCCTGGTGTTTTCTAGGCTAGAGCAGCTTGTTCACGTGGCTCGCCTTGGGCACTCTTTGTTCTGGGGCCACCCTTGCTCCAGCCCTGCATGTGTGATTGATCTACAGCTTTAGCCACTCCCCACAATCTTGTACCTGATTTTAGAGTGAAAGCTTTCAGGTTTAGGCACTTTAATATGATGTTGGCTGTTGGTTTGTCATAAGTGACATTGAAATGAGGACCATCTATTCCAATTTTCTGTGAGTTTTTTTTTTTTTTATCATGAATGGGTGTTGGACTTTGTTCAAAGCATTTTCTGCATCTTCTGAGATGTTCATATGGTTTTTGTCCTTGGCTTCGTTAATATGATGTATTAAATTTATTGATTTGTGTCTGCTGCTATGAATACTACTTGCTCATGGTGTATAATGTTCTTGATGATTTGTGCATTCTGTTTGCCAGTATCTTACTGAGGATTTTTGCATCTGTGTTCATTAGGGAGATTGGTGTGTAGTTCTCTTTTCTGGTTGCGTCCTTTTCCCATTTTGGTATCAGGGTAATACTTGCTTCTAGGAATGAATTTGAGAGTATTGCTTCCTTTTTAATTTTATTAAAGAGTTTGAGAAGTAGTGGTATAAGGTCTTCTCTAAAGTCCTTGTAGAATTTGCAGTGAATTGTTAGGGCCTGGGCTTTTCTTTGTTGGTAGGTTTTTAATTACATCTCAGATTTTTTTGATGATTGATATTGGTTCATTTAGAATTTGTCTTGGTTACCTGTCTCTCATTGCTGAGACAAAATAGCTGACACCCCAAAGTTGAGGAAGGGAAGGTTTATTTAGCTCACGGTTTGTGGAGGTTTCTGTCCATAATCAGGGGGGTTCCAAAACAAGGTGGCATGGTAGAGGGGCAATAGTTCAAGGCAGAAGAAAACAGCAAAAGCAACAAGAGCAAAAAGGTGCAAAAGGTGTTTTC